TCCTTTCGCATTTGCGTGCAATACGATACCCGCGCATGTAACCGCGTATATACGCGCCCATTTATGTATGTGTATACGCATACAGACACGCTTGGTAGTGCGTGTCGAGGCGAAGCCGGACAGCAATTACTACCGCAATCCCGCGATGCGGAGTGAATTGGCTCTCGGGGGTTCTGGCTTGCATAGCCGAGTTGAAAGGACGAAGATCCTACTAGCGGGGCATGGTCGCGGATCTTGAGCATCTCGTCCATAATAAACGCTTATCAGAGGTCCTTCGGATTCGATCGTCGGTGCACCCCGCGTCCCGACGATTTCGTAGTCGGCGAGTTCTAATCTCAATTATTGTAGGAAGCGCCGCAGCGTGGCACCTCGACGTCGATGGAGTCTGTTATCTGATGCGGCACTATCTTCCCGAGATCTCTCCTTGATGCCGCTTTAATACGAATACCCGCGGGCTCGTTTCGACCGAATTATCCCGGCAACCACTCCGAGATCAATCCTACTATTGCACAGTACACAGATCGCAATTATACTCACGGCTATTTGTCATCTAAATTAATTGGCAAGACGCAAACTAGTGTAACGAAAAGTGTCAGCATTTTGATATTTTAATAATTTTTTAAAATTAAAATAAAAAAATTGAAGAATAAAAAACTATTCATTCTATACTTTTTCAAATTAAAAAAAGCGACGCGTTTTTTTGCATTAAAATAATTAGATGTGTAGATCGATACCACAGCATTTATACAATTCCAAGTACAAAGAGTTGACAAAGTCCAAGTTAAAATTAATCTATGCGTGCGCCTAATAAATTGTGTTTTTAATATTCGAAGTCATTAAAAAACCTATAGATAGATTATAAATAGACTATAAATAGACTATAAATAGACTATAAATAGACTATAAATAGACTATAAATAGACTTCAATGCACACACAAATTTACAATATAAAATAAAATATTTAATACCATTTATTAATTTTTTCACTCAAAATTAATTAATATAAAACATGATTAATTAAACTTGGTAAAAATTCAGTTTTTTGAGAGAATAATTAAAAAAAGCTGTAATTGCGATTACTTTCTGTATTGTTAATAAAGTAGGAGTGTTTAATTATTTTTTTAGAAGAAGCCATTTTTTAGAAGAATTGAAACTAGAAAATTGCTTTTCGAGATTGATTTTATATTTTATAATTATGCTGCAGTTTGAAAGCCTACGTGTATAGAGAAATGAGCATTTCCGTACAAGCAGTTAACAATTTCTCAAACAATCTTCTCTTTATCAAGCGCTAGTTGAAATTCATGCAAGCCTTCGAGCGACAATTTCGCGAACATCTCGGATAGGAATCGTCATCGTAAGAAATTGACATTGTACAAGTAAGAAAATTTGATTATCACGCTTAGTATTTCTAAATTTCTGCATCTTTTCTGAATTTATTGCATCTTAATGTAAATTTAATTATTAATGTCTCATTTAAAAAATACATTAAAAAACGTTTCAAACTATAGCAGAATTGATGGAAATGTATAAGCGTAGGAATAAGATTGCTTCAAGAGAGATTAGATATGTATCGACAACCGATACAGTTTACTTTTAATGAGACCAATTTTGAAACTTTCATGTCGCGTATGTATAGACGCTTCGGAGTTTTAAAGTGTTCAAATTATTGATTTCATTTCTGGATATCTGAAATTGTCGAAACCGAGGATTTCGCTTTTTTAAGCGCGCATCACGGAGCATCCGTGATGATAGAAGGACCGTGTATTTTTAAAGCGAATGAGAGGGAAGGGTGACCCCGAAGAAAGCGTTTTCTGTGAAGGGCGAAAACGCCGATGGACAGTGGCGCTAATTATTCTTTCCCGCTGGACTGCGAAAAAAGGCGTCCGCACCGTCGGGAAACGAAATAGCCGGGCGAGGTTACGCGATAAAAAACGGAAATGGAAGGGAAAGCGTAGCGCGCGAGACGGGGCTTTGGCGACGTCTAACGGGGGTTGGTGGCTCGTGGAAACGAAAAGCGCGAACCCGGATGGGAATATGAACGTTGGAGGCCAATGGAGGAGAGGCGGCGCGGGAGGAAAGGGGAGGGGAGGGACCGAGAAAAATGACGACGGTGGGTAAACAGAGCTAAGTGAAGTTAACGATCGGGCAAGAAGAGCGGCAAAAATGACCTCGGGAAAATTACCGCACGCGCAACGGCTTAATGTCCAAAAAGACGAGGGCGGGAGGGGGTCGGGGCAGGAAGTGAATAAGGGAGAGAGACGCGGAAAGGAGGGGGGAAAAAAAAGGAGGAAGAGATGGGAGGAAGGCAGTGTAAGAGAAAGAAAAAAGGAAGTCAAAGAGAACGAGGTCGGGCACGAGAGAGATATTACAAGAGCGGAGAGAAAGGAAAGCCGCAGCTGCTTAATGACCACCCTGTACATTCGTATCTCTCTCGCAGATAGGCTTTCCTTTTCCTCCCTCCCTCCCACTCTCCCTCGCCGCGGCCCTTTTGCAGTTCCGCTTTACTCTCTTTTCCGCCCTAACTCCTTCGCGGTCCCGGCGCTGGGTGCCGCTGGGACCATTATCTGTAATTGCTTTCCTTAATTCGATGTTCGTTGCCCATGTGGCGGGACGAAAAAAATTCGCGTAATAAGCTAGAAATGGGTTGAGTATGGCCCTAACGGGTGGTATCGCGTGAAAAGCTCGAATTTGTCAAATTCGTCGCGCGCCACAGCTCGTTATGATTTGCACGATTTTCGCACCCAATTCTTCAACCCTCGTACGCCAGCGGAATAAGTTCGCTATCTTTTCCAAACTACCGGCGGCTCACTGCTTCTTTACGCTTTCGCCGTCGAGAGATATGTGTATTTGTATTTGCACTCGCGCTCCGTGCAGAAATCCACTCTTCTTAGCCGGCCGATTTCTTAGATTTAGGATAGAAATTTATTTTCCGATTTCTAAGTGGGAAAGCTTAGATTTATACACACCTTAGCAAAATGAGAGGATCACTTCGAATTGGTGGCGTGCAAAAATGATGGCGACGAACGTACAAACGGGATAGTATTTCGAGCAATAGTTGTTTCCTCGGGGGAGATCAATCCCGGAAATAAATCGCTCTGCAACGGCCGGAATCTCCGTTTCGTCTCGAATTCAGATACAGATTCCTCAATTTGTTTTTGAGCGCGAGAGCGGCGGGCGAGCAGCCACGGGTTGAAAGTCGCCCCGAAACGCGCATGCAGCGACGGTCGCATCGAGCGGCAAATTGATCGACGCTGCGACGACCGTAAATCACTTTACTGACAATTGATTCGGCGCTACTCGTTTTACCGCGGACGCGTACCGCGGTGATGTTTACGAGGCAGCACGTGCGCGTAACACTATCCACGTTGCGTGGGCGTATTGGTGGTTGCTTCATTTGCCCGTGTTTAATGATACGCAACGTGACGCGCCCGTAACGTTTCGCCACGTTCGCATTGCGTCACTCTGTATTCTTTTTTTCTTTCTTGTCGAAAGATACATTTGTATTTGCATTCGTACTTGTGAAAGCCCGATTTTTTGTCGACCGACTTCTTACATTTAGAACTGAGAGAGTAGAATATTTTTTGTTATTTTCGTTCTTAATTTGAGTTGATGCTTTTATTTCGTTAAACAGTACAGTTTTATATTATGTCAAAAGCTCCAGTTTTTTTATCGCAGTTTTATCCAGTTTTATTTTTTACTGACAAATTTTTCGGATATTGAGAATCGATTTGTTTTTGACGAAAATGTCACGTCTAAAGCTTTTGCATAATTAGCGATTGAAAATTTGTGTAAAAGGAACATAATAAATATTGTCATATTATTTATTTTTAATTTTAGTTAATTTAAAGTAAACTTTAGTAGAATATATTAATTTAACGCTTATATTATGTATTATATATTATATTAACTTTTTTCGCAGCTTAAAGTTATAAAAATGCAAAATATTGAAAACTGAATGTGGAACTGAATGTTAATGATAAATAATAATCTTTTTCAATATTTTATATAAGACTCTAAATTAGCCAAAAAATTGCCAATCAAAATAATGTAATCAAAATAGAATATTTGGTATTTAATGATCACGTTTGCATTGTCACCAAAGTTAATAATTATTTCCTTTCTAATTTTCAAGCATTCAAAGCCTAATTTCATAAAATTAGAATAAAAAATATATATTTTGTATATCTTTTTATCAAAAATTAATATTTATTTTTAACATCGCGGTGTATCGTTTATATTACTCCGCGCTTTGATAAAAATAAAATACTCTTTAGAGTTAATTCTGGCGCATTTCCGGGCTTCCATTGATAAGCAACGCGACGCCCTATATACGAACGTCTAATGGGGTGTGGTGCGTTCGTCTCGTAACGTTGTCTCGAGGGTGGTGATCCGTCTTCCTTACCGCCTCACGTCGCTGACACCACCCACTCCGAGAACAGCCTGATTCATCCCCTGTACGAAAGACTCGCATGAAACCCACAGTGACCTTGTGTCGATCCGTGTGCTCGACCAGCGTCTTTTGCTAATCTCCAGGCAATCGCGGATCTCCGTTAAATTGAGTAGGGTTAAGCGAGTTCGGTTGACTCCTCCTCAATGATGCTTCTCATTCGATCTCGGTTCGAGCGTCGGTTAAGTTTAAGCGACAGACGATTTTTCATTCTGTCAGGACAATTCAACCATTGTCCGTATCGAAGCAACAACTTTGTTGATAATATTCTCACGCGATCACAAAAATAGGAAAATTCGTACTCGCATGCGAACTAATAATTAATCCCTTCAAGTGGATACAATTTGGGAAGATCAGCCACATAGATTTTTATCGATAGATTTTTATCGTCGGTAAACTGCAGTACACGTCGTGTTTTCAATTTTATCGAAGATAATCCGTTTTCGGTTTTTATCGGTATATCGTCGACAAATTGCAGTAAACATCGTGTTTCATTCGACAAACACGATAAAGCTTTCGCAGCAATTCAACGTAAACTGAAATCGTACTCACCGGTGCGCTTCTCGGCGTCGCGGTATGTGACCTCGCTGAGGATGACCGGTTGGCTCCGACCCTTCGCGTTCACCGCGTAGACCGCGACGTGGACACCGGCCTCAACCGAGGCCTCCAGCCCGGCTAGGGCGAAGGTCGGCTCGTCCTGGTTGGAAACGTTGTAGAGGGGCTGGCTGGTCACGAGGAAATCGACGTCGCCGTGATAGACCTCGAGCACGAATTTCTGCGGCAGTCCGCCGTCATATCCCGCCACGCATTTCACCTCCACGCTGGTATACGTCTGATTCGCCAGTGTGCAGTTGCGCACCGGAAATGGCTTTCCTGAGAAACAAGGGTTGACGGATCATATATTATGTGTCCTTGCAGTTCTACGCTTATAGCCAAACAGCTCCCGCTGCTTAAAAGTAGGGTTTCGACGCAAGAATGCGGCGAGAGGTTTCTTCTCTCGCCTTCGGTCACCACCAAGCGTGACGCTAAATCTCTCCCAACGCGTGATCGCCGCTGCCGTCTTGCGACACGCTTTCTGGACACTTTGCACGCGTCGAGTGTGACCCGAAAGCAGCTCCACAGGTTGGCTCGGACGAGCGAGATCGTTCGCGTCGTTCTCGTCGGAAATCAAGCCGAGTGAAAAATGCTCGCGTGTCTACGAGTGGCAAAGATTTAGTGTAGCGGGATAGTAATGGGCGTAGAGATGTCCCGGTTCTCTTTTTCTTGTCACCCCCCCCCTCCCCGACCCTCCGCTTGAGCCAGCTACCGCCGTCACACTGTGACGCCGACTCGAGTCCCTGCAAATTTCCCGCTATCAGTATCTCGCTTTTCGCTTCCCGCCATCCAGAACCGTGTTTTTCGAACCGAAATCAATTTTTGCGCGCAGTTCTTGCCGGAAGAAGACGAATATCGCTCGTTTCGGGCTGAATCTTTTGCGCGGCGAGCGGTACGCGCGTCTCTCCCTCGACATCTCGCGTGTTCCCTCGATATTTCTCGCTCATTTCGCGCGTTCGTTCGCGGCAGACACTCGGGATTTCATTTCTTTCACGTTAATCACAAAGTCCGTCGTCGTCGTTATCATTCTCTTCGTTATGACTCGCAGATTTACGGGACGTATATTGAATCTCGACGATGCTTCGTTTGTACTTTACGCGCGCGCCCGTCCTTCCTGTTCGTCTTTGCTCTTCTGTTTCTTATATCCCTTTGCACGTAGCCCGGACCCCATTCTCCGCGAGTAAACATTTGTATCCCACGCTTTCATCCTGCAAAAGTCTCCGGTATAGAGGCAAATTCAAATTAGTTTTGCGCGCAAAGAAGGCGGCTAAGTTTGTCAAACTGGATGACTCGTAAAATAGCGTATTTCTCTTATGTAGCATTTTTCTTCTCGAATACTTTCTCTAAAAATGAGAATATCGACTATAAGACAAGTGCAATATGATCGCGACAAACAGAAATATTTAACAGTTAACTTTTCATTAAATTGACAAAAAAATTATAAAATTTGTTTCAAACAAGATTACATTTTTAAATTCTCTGTTAGAACACCATCTTGTATATTTTATAAAAATAAATAACTTTGCGAATTCATAAATATGTATTTAATATTGCATATTTTATTCATCACGATAATTTGCATGATTTTTTTTCAAATTACAGTTTATTTTTAAAATATCTTAATTTTTTTGCTTTAACACCTTTTTTTCTAGCATAAAATATATTCACTTTATATGTTATAGGATCGTAAATTTCGATACGTCGTGAAATTCCAATTATGTTCGACGTGCATAACAAGTGACGTCTAACGCGATTCCCGATTCCATCGCAAAATTCTGTCTCGGAAATCCCGTCTTTTTACCGTTTCTCCATGCTTCAATGAGCGCATTCCTCCTTGCCGAAATGCTTCGCGGAATGGTAACCGACATCAATAACGTCGAAGGGGGTACAAAAATAATTTCATGCCATCGGGTTTACGGGTCGTTGGCATTGGCGGAGTACCGCGAGAGTCGGGGTACCTTCGATACGACGCAAAGCGACGAATAAAGCGCGAGAGCGAGCGACGAGGACAGCCGATTTTATTTTCGATGGGAAGGGTACACACGGTGCCGCTTACACTCGACGTATTCGTCAACGTCAATACGTTCTCGGCCGATCGCCATGTCAACGTCACTGTCGATCACGCACGCAAACGGATAAAAAAAAGGGAAACGAGAAAACGCGAAAAAATTCGCCTGGGGATTAATGCCGATTTAACGCTCGATGATTGGTCGCCTCCCATTGTACTCGCGGCGATGATTCGTGGGAACTGCTCGCGCTTTTTTTCCCATCGGAGATCGCGTAAAAACAGCGCCGATTTTTACATTTTAATCGCCGCCGCCCTTGATGGTGATTCGCGCAGACATTTCGCGCGGTTAAAAATGGACCTAATTTTACAATTCAACATAAAATTCATCGTGAAGTATTGCGTCTAAATTCAATTTTGTTCAGATCGCGACTTTAAGCACTGAATTAAGAATTAAATATGTATTTTTAAAAACTCTCAATTATATCGATTCTCTAAAAAATTCAAGAATCCATAATCCAATAAGCTATATGTTCCTTTAATTAATAAATAGCAATTTGAAATATTCATATAGTATAAAAATGCTTTTTTCGCTACTATTAATACTCGCAAATAAAATTGTGTCAATAATAAAAAAGAATGAATCATAAATCGTTTCTATTTCGAATTTAGACTCAATTCTTTTTGTTTCGTGACATTTACAAAGATTTACATAATAAAAAATATATTAAGCGTTAATAGCTTCTTGAGTTGAGATATTTGACCGAGACATTTCTCGAAATAATCTTCCACAAATAAAAAAAAAAAAAAAAAAAAAAAAAAAACTGAAACAATTATAAAAAAAGAAAAAGACAATATTTTGTTCGTAAAATCCCTCTTAAGCATCGCTGCAGTTTGTCGTATATACTCACCGGCTGCTACCAGCTGGAAGAGACATGGCCTCGACTGGGTACCGACGAGATTGTCCGCCCAGCACGAGAGGGTACCGTAATCCAGCTCGGTGGACGGCGTGTATTTCAGCACGCTGACGCCGCTCGACTTCTCCATGGAGAACTTAGCAGCTGCTACCTCCAGGGTCTCGCCGCTGTTGTTGAATTTCCACCGGAAATTGTGCGCCGGCGGATCGGCCTCAACCTTGCAGGCGATGTCGAGCGACTCGCCCCTCGATGCGCCGACCACTATGATCCGATCTTCCTTGCACACAGGCGCGACTGCAAGCAGAATTATCGATTTGTATGTACCGCACGGCACCGGAGGCGGTCTTCTTTCGTTAAGCGTTTCGGAGCTTATAATAAACGACGGCGCAGCTTTTGATGGCTGCCTCCGCCTCGCCGCGCTACGGATTTTATCGTCGGCGCGAGAATTTGCGGCACTTCTAACAATTAATCAGGATTTCCCCGCGTTGAAAATTACTCAAGATTTAAAGGGCTAAGAATATGGTATCTTTAATATTCACAATTACAAATTAGGAGGTACAATGTACACTTTATAATAAATTTAATAAAATAATTTTTAATTAAATATTGTTTAATTAAAAATTTCAATTAAAATTAAATTTTATTTGAAATTATTAAAATAATATTTAGTTGAATAAAATGATGACAAAAACAACTGTTGCGTTAACTCAAGTTTGCAAGCAATAATTGGCAGGTGTTCGCTGAGAAAAATATAAAATAAATAACGGCGCTCTGGTTTCTCTTAAAGTATAACCTGCGGATTTCATTCGTAGATTAGTATCGTAAATTTCAAGATGACTGCCTCACGTTTTCCTTGCTGTCCGGCATGGCGTTTCGTCAAGATTACGCGGCGACGAGCGACGCGTATTAATTGCGCTTTCTGATAAATGTTATTAATGTGATTCTCCTTAGCTCCACTTTGGAATACAGTTTTTATGAAGTGACGCTTTTTCCTTTATTACCGACCATCTTACGCCAACGACTCTGCTTTGTTACGCCTGCCAGACGTTATCATACTCGCGAGAAAGATAAGTTTTTAGGACACAACGGGCTATTCTCGAACGAGCATTCATTACGCGACGAAAGCTTTAATTACCGGCTATAATCTGCGCGAACGACGAACGAAGAAAAGGTGTTATTTTCATACAATGTTGTCCAGGTCGGCCAAATGACTGGCATGTTACGTGGATTTTTAACCACATAAATTATGAAAAAAAGAAGATAGACGCAAGAAAAAAATTTGTCATTAATATTTACATCGAATTGATAAATTAGCTCACTTTTGATACGTGTGACTGGAATCACTATAATTTGCGAACAATATTATATTACAGATCGTTTTCCGCATTCGTGTGCAACACGAATGTAAGAATAACCGATTGTTTTCCGATACTAGTTATTCGATATCGTTTCGGAAATATCGGAAGATTGGACGGAAAGGAGAAGATTTCTCCGTCGATCAGAAAAAGCTGTGGAAGGCCAGATAAAGCGAATTGCAAAGCGGCCGGCGGAATACGAGTGCCGTCTCAACGTTATCTGTATACGAGAGGGAGGGTTTCTCGGCCGACGATATGCCGATGATGACCCACATATCGCGGCTGCATCGGGGAAAACACGCAAATGACAGCGCTATCGTGCGAACGATTTTTCTGACACGCTCAGGCGTTTTGTCACGAAGAGGCGGCTCCCCCGTCGTGTAACTGGCCGGGATCGTTTTATCAACGCGAGTTATGCAAAAAGGTCTACTCTTCCCTTCGTCTTTTCCCAGCGATATATATTTGTCCCAATTTATCTGCGTTTATCTCCGCCTCCCTTTGTCTCCATCCGTCTCGCGCGCCTCCGCGCGAAGAGAACGGAAGAGGAACAAATACGTTTTATCGTGTAACCGAACGACACATTTCCAACGTGAACAAGGTGGAAATTGATATCGCGCAATAATCAGAACAAGAATCAAAATGCTAAAGCAATGCGTTCAATAAACGCGGCGGGGAGGATTGTTGAAACGAGTTAAATCCAGATTGAAAAGCTCTCGGTCCGGCCGTTGAAAGTATTCATTATTAAACCCAGATCGCTTTTAGCTTGTCACTTTTATTACAGACTTTTAAGCTTTATTACGTTCATAATTACGACACATTTCCCATTGTAATTTGATCGTAAAACAAGCGATTGATATTAATTTTCGATGATGACCGTAATGCAGCATTCCGTGGAAGTTGAAGCGTTTTGCGATTTAATATTGAATTTTAAGCGAGAGAACGTGCCACGCGCGAGCGTTGCAGGCTTATTGTTCTTCCTTCATAATGTTACATTGTTCGGTTTGCAGTATTTCAGTTGCTTCATATTTGAACTGCAACTATAGTTTTTTTCTCGAACGAGCACCGTGAAACAAACGCGCCGTCAGAGAAATTTTGCGATAATGACATATGTGACGTAATGTGCGGCATAATACGACTTGTATACTGCGCATTTATAAATAGCATTAAGATTCTAAGACACAAAAATGAATAAAATATACATTTTATGCTTTAAAATCTTCTATCATATCATTTGGCAAGCCTAGAATTTACTGCTATGTATTGAAATCTTATATTTTAAAAAAAGAAATGGTCTAGAATGTTAAAATGTATTTTATTCATTTTTATTTTATTTTTATAGTTTATACGGTTATATCTTAACATTTGTAAGGTTAGAATTTTAGATTGTACATTTTCTTTACTCTGATGCATTAAAATTTAATATTTGAAACAAAGAAACGCGGTCTAGAATTCTAGAATATAAGATTTCAATCCATTGCAGTAAAGTTCTAAACCTACCACAAATGACATCATATAAGATTCTAAGATAAAAATAAATAAAATTTACATTTTAACATTCTAAACCATCCTTTTATTTACAATATAAAATTTCAATGCATCACAGTAAGGAAAATATAAATTTTAAAATTCTAGACTTATCAAATATTACAAGATTTTACACATAAAAATGAGTAAAATGTACATTTTAACTTCTGGATCATTTTTTTGTTTAAAATATAAGATTTCAATGCGCTATAGTGAAAAAATGTAAATTCTAAATTACCAGGCCTACCAATTTTTATAATATAAGATTCCAGTGTCTATGATATTGAATAAAATGTACATTTTAATATTTTAGGTCATTTTTCTATAATTCTATAGGCTTACTAATAAAATATCTATTCTTATAAAATATTCTTATAGAATAGGAAGGTGGATAATAAATTAAAAAACTTTATCTTTCCTCTTTCTGAAACAAATTTTCTTTTTATGACACATGGTGCCACAATAACCGATTCGAATATGTATTGATTCGCGAGGTATCTCTTGAAGCCTTTTGCCCTATCTCCTTTAAATTCACTCGGTGCTTGTATTCCGACCACTCTAAATTCCATTATATTATGATAGTGCCGATAGCGTAAACCAAACGTTATTTCCTCTTTTCCAACAACGGTGTAATATCGAGGAGGATAAACCACGAGGCGATACCGATTTCGATTCGTGGATACTCGCGAGACGCTTGCTTATCCGAGACTAGTTTCCTCTATCTTTACGAGGTTGCCACGATCCATAATTAAATATTAAGGACCGCACTTGTCCGCAGGATTGAAACTCGTATGCGGTCCCGGAAGTGGCGGTAGGGTTTCATATTAAATGCTTCTGCATGCCGATTACTTCGGGACGCTTCCACGAACTAAATTAAACGCTTCATGCGCTGAACTGTCGAGTTATATTTTTCATGAAAGTCGTAATAAAGTTCAATTTATTTCGATCCTCTCCACTTTAATCTATTACTGTTTGAAATTTTTTAAATTTTAATTTAATATTTTCGCGTTTTTAATAAAATATATTCTCGAATAGTTGAGAAACTTTTCGACTCAGCGTCGCGTTTCACCGAAATTTTTCAAATGAAACTCGTTTCTTTTTTTCTCAAATATCTTGTAAATTGCGTGTTCCACGAGAAAAGCGCACGAGTTCTTTCATGTTTCTTCCATTGAGATCCGTTACTACTGACGAGGATCGCTCTGGCGATTCGTGCAGTGGAGAGTTTTTCAACAGTGAGAACCGCGCACGTGTTCTACGCTATTCTCAAATATGCTACGAATCACTTCTTTTGCGAAGAGGCGTCTCTTTTCGTGCCGACAGCCGGCCATAACCTGGGAATTGGGTTTAAAAAATGTAACCAGCACTAAGCACTCGTGAAATATTCACACTGAATGTGATTCCAGGGATATGCGGCGGGTGAGTTAATATACGCGCGGGAACGCGCTCACCGATGTCGGCATGTATAATCAGAATTCGTAGTAAATCGGTTGAAAATAGAAATTCACCACGTCTGCCATCAATAAAGGATTCGGCGACAAACAATTTCGCAAAGAAGACTTTACTGTGACGCGCGATAACATAAAAATATATTGTTGTTCTTTTCTCAAGATTATTGTAATATTTTACTGCGATTCGCGGTAATAGAAAAATATATGGATTATCCGAAGGTTGTTGCAAATATAAAATTATCAGCTAACTTACATTTGACTCGAAAGTGTAGAGGCTCGCTGCGTGTCTCATTCAGTGCGTTCGTCGCTGCGCAGACATAGCGACCTGCACTACTTCTTGTCACACTCTGCAAGACGAGGCTCTGATTCGACCAGATGATCCTTGCCGACGTGTTATGCGCCAGGATTTGGTTCTGCAAAAAAGAAATTTCGAACGCGTTAAACTTATTGCACAACAAATATGAGATATATTTAATAATACAAAAGCTTCAGCAACATTTTTGCAATCATGTGTTCATCAAGTAAATCAAAGAGAAGGAAGAAAGATAACTGTTTCTCCTCCGACACCAAGCACACATTTTTATGTCTCATTATTTTCTAGTCTCGCGATAAATTAGAGATAAGCGCAATCGCATTTTACAACGATGTCTTCCCGCCTGTTACGACCGTTCGTTATCGTATAATTTTTTTTCCGAGGAATGCCACCACGGACCGAGCGCTTTTATGACTGCGAATGCCTGTGGAAGATAAAGAGGAACTATCTTACAAGAGTACGCGAGCAAGCGTGCAGTTGCAATACCCACTTGTGCATGCAGTATAATATTGTTGGAACAAGTTAACGAGTCATATTCGCACAAATTATCGTAAACCTCCACAAAACAAAACTATTATTGTTTGTGTGTCTATATATCAATATTTGTAGATATAGATATATTATTTAAAATGACAGTAATGATTATTTGTTGCGATTTTTGTGTAAAAGTAGAGGCAAAGAAATAAATAGTAAAATCTTGTGTTAATTGGAAATAAATTTTGCTTTAATTAGATTAATCAGTTAATGCTAAATATTACGGCTAATTTCCTTGATGTTTTTGCTAAGGAGAACTAGAATCTACGTCAGAATTTGTTCCTAAAATTGTTGCATGACGCTTCTACAATGTAGTGTATATTAACAATTTAACGGAGTAACACATCCTGCATAGTTTGCGAAGAGATATGCCGTGGAGCACGACAAATACATAGTTTTACCAGTCGTAAAAGGAGGTGCGCACGCTTACATGTCGCTATAACAAATTTGTCGCTTTAATTAGCTGCGCGAGAAGGGTGAGTTCCATTACATCTTACTTTCGTCTGTCCCTGTTTTCGCGTTTCTCGCAACAAAATGAGAAGCGGGACAAATGTAGTGCTAATATCGTACTCCCGCTGAAACTTGCAGCGGGAACGGAACTCGGGAGTGGAACAGCCGCACGTCAGAGCCAACAAGTAGCTAGAGTCAGTGCATACGCCGTCGCTGCCATTGCCAAATGCAGGCCGAACCGCTTAATCAAGCGAGAGGCAGCCTTCAAAAGTTCCACGACCGCTACCTAATTTACAGGCTAATTGCTGGCGAAACGCGTAATTCATAACGCAATTATAAAGTTTATAATCGGGGAGAGAGTTAACGATTAAAAATTATTATATCAAGTTTCTACACGTTTCTTTCTCTCGGATTTTTACAGCGAAAGAGCATTAAATTGTCCTCGTCTCGTTTCCGCAGAACTCCTCTTCAACGTGTACGTTCAGATGATTTTACTTTACCGCTTTCCAATCTTTTTATCTGGCCGAATGCGCCGTAAAAGTTCGGCACGCGGGAAGTGGGGGGGGGGGAGGCGAGATTATAAGAAGAATATCTCGGAGTCGTGGCGTATGCCCGTCATAGTGCATTGCCCCTAAAGGCGGTCCTCGCCTATTTAATCAGAGAAGAAACGACAGTCGGGCGTCTTTGTCTCGCCGGCAAACATTTTCTCGGCCAGTAAAAGTCCCTTAAGTTTTTCACTCTACCCCTTTCCGCCCCCTCGCCTCCCCCCCCTCCCCTCCCTCCCGCCCCTCTTTGCCATTTCGTTCTCATACCTCTTACCTCACTACCGTTTCCTCCATTACACCGGCGGACCCTCTTTTCTCCCGTTCCGCCAGAATCCGCTCGCCCCGAAGATAATTCGAAATCGATTTGAAACGAGGCCATTTGAATCTTGGAGAAGTTGGGCTGGGTTACAGGCGACTTGTGGAGAAAGGAGGAGGAAGAAGGGAGGGCAGACGGAGACTCGGAGATTTCTTCTTCCACTTCTGTCTACCCCACCGGGACGTTTCTTTCCCCTGGACGACGCCCGAAGGGGTAGATTTATTCAATTGTTTTATAATCTCGGCAGCCCGAGACGCGGCGCTGCGTTGCGGCGCGCCGTCCCGTTTAAATTCCCCCGCCGTTTTCATCGTATTTTCCGCTCGCCCGATCTCGCGACAACGGCGGAAAGATATTTAATTACTCGTGCGCGATTAACTGACATATCGATAAAAGTTACTTAGCACGGGATTAAAATGTATAAGCGGTGGAAGCCGCGGTAAGCGTCTACCGTGCTCACTTTCAGGCCGCTTTCAAATACCGAATTTGCCGAAGAGTGATTTTTATTTTCGAAAAATATCAATTCAAAAAAATAGTTTAGAAAAACAAGCCCGTTAATTCTTAATATTTCAATCTCGCGATATTGCTGTATGTAAAGAGTTAAATAAAATATGATATATACTTAATGCGCTTAGTCACTCATGTCACGATCGCGGGAATTAAACGCGCGAGCTGGGCGGTGTACAAATATACACACACGAAGCTTTTTCACGATTAAATTCAGTTTTGAGTATTTTTTGTTGAAATATTTTTTTCAATAAAATAAAATAGAAAGCAATGAAGAGGAAAATAAAAAAATAACAACAGTAGATGGACGCGGTGTTCGCAACCATTAAGCAGCGATAACTCAATTAAATGCATTGTGATCTATGTAACCAGCCGTCCATGTGGCCGAGTCTAGGCTAGGCGGTTTTAGCGCGCTTAGCATAGGTTAAGCCCCGGTTAAATCCCGAGGTTTATCTTCGATTTACTTGCGGCAAGAGACGGAGCTTGGAAGGGACTCGTTAAATGTAGTACTTCGTTAAGACCGGCGGAAGAATTTTTAAGGATGCGTTTCTTAACGTCTCTTTACATCTCTTTTCTCTATCCCCTAGAAATTATACAGTAAATAATCTTACAAAACCTAATCCTTGATCACATTCCCGAAATGTTATACTTTTCGCATATGATTTTCTTCCTTATTTAAAAAAATTTCCATAAAATTAAATATAAAAAAAATCTAGTTTTTTATTCATTTAAAAACACGTATTAATGCATGTAAAAATGAAAATGACATACGACGTATTTTTATCGATAGTTTTTACAATTCTTTCTGATAAAAATAGTCTGAAAAAAAAAAGAAAATAGATTGAAATGTTTTTTTATTAAATATTGATAATTTGATTTTGTATTTGGATATTTTTTTACATCCTTTTCGGGAGCTACTCGTTGGTATCCTCCTATTCTTTATTTTCTGAAAAATAAAATTGTTCAAAGATTACGGGCTTTATTTTATGCTGCTTATATCGGGAGCCATTGAAGCTTATCGGTCAAAACCACCATCAAAGACACTCCACGATGGAGATTTGCTACACGCTGATCGATATCGCGGCAGCTTACACGTATGGTCCCGCTGCGTACTCGCGCACCGGCAGAGATAGCGAAGTTTAAAGTTCCCTTTCGCGACTCGAATCCCCCAGCCCCCACCTTTCCGTTCCCACGAGTCGGGATTCCGTTCTTTCGTCGTTTCCGTCCGCGTTTCTCCTCGTCGTCTCGACGAGGCGGAATGGAGAGTACGATATCGTCCTGTGTAGTCAGCTCTCCTGACTTTCGTTTATCTTTTCTTGCGACCGAGCCATTCTGCGAAGAGCCACCATCCGTCCTGCGCCTCCTCCTACTTATCCAATCTACTCCTCCACCTGGTGTACTTGTATTTGTTCGTGTAAATAGATTCGCGCCAGTAATTTAAGTAGTGTGCTATTATTCGCATCCTTTCGTTCGATGATGGCAGAATAAATTCTCGTTCGACGATATCGGAATTAGAGAAAGCAAACAAGATGAAAATATTATCATCTGAAAATTGCAGTATTCAAATTAATATTTTAGAGTCTAAAAACTAAACTTTGGAAGTAAAATGAAGCGGAAAGATGTGAAAATCAATACGTTCCGAAAACAACATTCATCGCTCGACTATTTGATCCGAGAAAATTGAACGTAAGAAATTTATTGAAATTAAAATTCTGCATTAATTTCACAGATTCCTTTTAACAAAATAAATAAGATAGCAGTAATAAAGATTTTCAAACAGAAATCGCGCTTTATACAATTAAATGGCGCGTATTCTCCGGCGACATTATTAATTCAATTTCGTCACGGCACTGCGGCGAACGCAACAGGGGCCTTTGATCAGTCAGTCTCAAGACTGGAAGTGGAGTGGGTACTACGCTTCCAATAATTAGGTTTCATAGGGTTTGCTCCGTAAATGAGGATCAACTAACTTCCCCATTGTGTCCATCCGCCGGGCGCAGATAGCTGACACCCTTCCACCACCACGGCCTATCGACAACCCACCCGTCGCTAATTACGTCGTCGATCTAAAGGAGATGCCATCGCTAACGGCTAATTCTATTTATCCCCGTATCTTCAATATTTTCCTTCCGGCAACCCTTTAAAAAAAGATTACAGCGACGTCAGCTGGTAATTTGAAATGAGATCACTCGCGCGATTGCACGCCGCTCGAAATGATTTTAGTCTCCGAAACGACTGTAGGCCAGTTGGATGATCGCATTACTTATCCGGATGGACTATCTCTCACGCTCCTTTTCCGCATTCCCGGTGAGTGCTCTCGCGCGCGCCAATCGATAGCAGGACATTCCATCCGCGACACTCGATTTCGAGGAGAACGCGCCAAAGACCCGTTCCTCGTTGGTCCGCAAAATCTTGGGACGTACTACCGTGCCGTCCAATTTCGTTTTGGCGTCGCCTCTCGGATCCTCTCGGAGGATCTATCGAATTTCCTCGCGCCCTTCGACGTGATCGCTTTCCTTCGTAGGAATGCCCGCCGGTTTCGGGACACAGGGACCCGTCTCCCATCACAGGCGGATCTTGTGCGGTCGCGTGATCCTCTCGGCGCTCTCTCGTATGGTCGGACGCGAAAGGGCTTGAGAGAAAGAAAAGGGTTTCTGCGGAGGCGGAGGGAAGGACGGCGGGATCGTCC